TGAGAGGGAGGAGAGGGGGGAGAGAGAGAAGCTATAAAACTTACCATATAGTGGGAGGGGAAATTAGAGGATGGGAATTAAATTATCCCGAGGAACTGACCATGTATTACTGTAAGGGTTATGAGAATAAGCTTAAGAAAGGCTAATATTAAGAGATATGTCTAGATACATATATTCACAACATTTATTCATAAACATATACGTATACATATACATATTATCTATAATAAATGTATACATATACATATACATATATTATCTATCATAAATGTATACATATACATATACATATATTATCTATCATAATATATACATGTACAATATACATATTATCTATCATAAATGTATACATATACATATACATATATTATCTATCATAATGTATACATATACAATATACATATTATCTATCATAAATGTATGTAGGTTGTAGATATTTTTGTTCAGTTGGAGATATGTTTCATTAAATAGAAAGTTAGATTTTTGAAAGGTAAAAGATTTGGATAAAAAGGAACAGAGTTTTTATACACTGGTCGGCGATTATGTCAATAAAATGAAGACAAATTTTTATCAATAATACCCTAACAAGTATTTTTGAAATGACGTAAACAAAGAAAAACTTTTAATTCACAACGTTTCATTGTGTACATGTTTGTGTGTCTCTGCTGTACATGTTTGTGTGTCTCTCCTGTACATGTTTGTGTGTCTCTGGTGTACATGTTTGTGTGTCTCTGCTGTACATGTTTGTGTGTCTCTGCTGTACATGTTTGTGTGTCTCTGCTGTACATGTTTGTGTGTCCCTGCTGTACATGTTTGTGTGTCTCTGCTGTACATGTTTATGTGTCTCTGCTGTACATGTTTGTGTGTCTCTGCTGTACATGTTTGTGTGTCTCTGCTGTACATGTTTGTGTGTCTCTCCTGTACATGTTTGTGTGTCTCTGGTGTACATGTTTGTGTGTCTCTGCTGTACATGTTTATGTGTCTCTGCTGTACAAGCTTGTGTGTCTCTGCTGTACATGTTTATGTGTCTCTGTTGTACATGTTTGTGTATCTCTGCTGTACATGTTTATGTGTCTCTGCTGTACATATTTTACTTAGATGATGAGAGAAAAAAATAAGAATTTAAGGTAAAGATAAAAGTAAAAATATGGAAAAGAAAAAATTAGTGTGGTGATGAGAGAAAAAAAAAAGAATTTAAGGTAAAGATAAAAGTAAAAATATGGTTCCCCGCGGGTGCTCTGATGTTAAGCTGCTTAACTGTGTGTGACAGTATACAGAAAAGGAAAAACTAAATAAAGAAGTATTTTCAGGTTTTCTCTTTCAATGAAGTGTATTCTTAAGCAATAGGTTACAAGACATTTAAGTTTTGAAGACCAAAATAATTAAACTAAATCTAAACCAATCGGTTTATTATTATATTAGCTGAAGTGCCCGGCGTTACCCGTGGAATTTTGGAAGCACTTCAAAAAAATTCGAAGTTCAAAAAAAAATTCGAAGTTCAAAAAAAATTTAATTTAAAAAAAAAATTATTTTTGTTAACCCCGGGGTACTCAAGTCTTCCCTCAAAAAATGTCAGCCATTTTGGTCAAGCCGTTTGGCCAGCCAAAGCTAACATAAATAAAAATATACAAATAAATGAGCGAATAGCTTTATTATATAGATTATCTCCTAATGAAGACACTAGACCGACAAAACTCAATGCTGTTGTACAGACAGTTTTACCGACAGGCCTACCCATGAACATGTCTGTACAGACAGTTTTACCGACAGGCCTACCAGTGAACGTGTCTGTACAGATAGTTTTACCGACAGGCCTACCCGTGAACGTGTCTTAACAGACAGTTTTACCGACAGACCTACCCGTGAACGATTTAGGCATTAGAAAATCTTAGAAAATCAACTTCTATATATGAATCTCCTGAACAGTCCCTTTAAACCTGGTTTGTTCTATAATGGTTTGATTAATGTTGAATATGCCTGCTCTGAATATCATTGTTCCATTATTGTAAACTTGAAGTGCTGAACTAGAAACCACAGGACCACCATCTAAACAAATAATGAAAAGTTTTAAAAAATTATGATTATTAAATATTTTAACATTTAACGATTAACAACAGTGCATTTTTTTAAACCTTATAAACCTTAATTTTTCAATGATGGAAAAATCTTTGTTTTTCTATAAACATTTATTTTTATAAGAAATATTTTTGAATATCTCCAGCAAGAAATTTATGAAACTGTTGTGTAAACTTTATCATTTATTGGGTTTAATTGGGTTTATTTGTTCAAAAGTTTGTCTGATCTAGAAATAGCCTTGAATTAAGACGAGTACAACAAACATTTCATAAAATTACATTACTGATTGGGCACGACGTATTACAAAGTTTTCAGTCTTGCACCTTCTGTCCAAAAACTTTATAGAACTGCGAACCAAAATAATAGTTTTTTAAATAGTCAATTCGATTTGAAAAAGTTTATAGTGGCATACAAATAATTAACTTAAGGAATACTTTTAAGTAAAGGTAATTTGGGTACAAGAATGATGGTACCAACTTACATCAAAAATCGATTAAACCATCTTTTGGGTAACTGTCTGAACCTGAACCTCTTTGAAAATTTGTCAAATCCAATTAAATTTTAGTTTAAAATTTATAAAATCATACACTTTCATTCACCGTAAATAAAGAAATTAAGTCTTTGCCACAAACTCAAATTTCTTAATCTCAATATCTTTGCAACCTGATGATGTAAACCTTTCAAATTTCAAACTTTGATAATTTGAACTAATAAAATTCAAAGTTTGAAATGTCTAAGATTTAGGACAAAGACTTACTTTCTTACAGTTAAGTTTGTTTGACTTTAATAAAATAGTTTTTCAGCGATTGGAATTTGATTAGAATTAGAAATGATAATATTTAAACATGTTCAAGACAATCCCAATTTCTGAAGGAGATGACTAACTGTGAAGAAGAAATCGGTGTGAAAGGTTTTAGACTAAAAAGAAAAGTTCTAATGCTCCTTGATGATAGGATTATAGGATTAGAGTTATTAATTCCTCAACTTTTCCAGAACCCGTTTTATAATGAAGAAGGCTTATAGGACTTGAGAGAAGCGGAGNTTAGAGAGTATAAACGCATGAATTGAATTAATTTTTTTTAACAAGTTTGGCAAAATTTAAACTCATTTTTTTCTCAGAAATATTTGACTTTACCACGATTTTTGAATCTCAGAAATTTTCCTCTTAATTTTAATTTAAATACACTAACAGCAACAATTTAGTGGAATTAAAAGTCGTTGTCAAATTCATTAAATGTTTTGATTTCATGCTCTCTATACAGAAAGAAATAAAAATAAAAAATCTCATTGTTCTACGCGAACACAAACTGTGGAATATAAAGATATAAACAGACTCATGTGCATTTTATGTTTTTATAAAGCAAACATTTTTAAAACCAGCTTGACATTCAGCTTTGGAAGTGAATTGGGTCTGTGCATACGATTGCTGTTTTTATGTTCATTGGGCTTTTTTAGATCATAATTAACTTGAGTCTTACAATTGTCTATTTTTTTGGGTCACATTGTATTCCTAAACATTGAGCCAAAATGTTACCTTTCTCCCAGGTTATTTTATCAATTGGATACCCTGATACAGGACACTGAACCCTCAGCTGGGAACCTTCTACCCCAGACACAGGTCCAACATCACGAATATACGGAGGACCTAGAGAAGGAAGATCACGATCAAGGACTGGCTATCAAAAAAGAGTTGAACATAAAAAATATCCTTGGCATTTAAAAAATATAAATTTTTTAATTTCTAAATTTTACAGCAAAATATTCAGAAAGCATTAATTTCATTTGAAACTCTTTACAAAGAATCACAAAGTTTTAATAATTCCTCTGAATATTACCAAAAACTCTAATCTGTTCTGAATGCGAGGTTTGCCCCGCTGTATTCTCTGCTCTGCAGCTGTACAGGCCGCCGTCCCGGTCCGTTACATGAGTAAGGTTCAGCTGACTCATCACATCATCAGCTGAAGTCACGTACTGGCTCTGTCTGTATCTAAAAAATATATTACATAAAAACCTGATTTTTTTAAGGTAATTGTAATGGTAATGTTGGATAAAGCAAAGATACTTAATTCAGAGGTCAGATGTGTACGCATTTTTAGTACTGCAGTGTACTATCTCTTAGCTGTAAAGTAAACACAAGACGGATGTCACAGCCTGACATGGAATCCATTTTTCACATAAAAAATCTATGAAATATTCTGGTCATTATGTGAATTATCAAAATGTTCAAAATTAAATGCTTTTATCCTCCTTGGATACTAGACAAACACTGATGCACCTATTCTTGTTTACGAACACCGCCCAGACAGAACTGGTTTCAATGTGTACGCAGAGAATACGCAACAGCAATCAACTTTCCTTGCGTTATTACCTTGGATAAAAGTAAGAAAACTCATTGTCAGTAACAAGCTACGGTAATTTTGTAGAATCGTTTCAGTAACAGAAAGGAACTAATTATCCCTGAAACTCTAATTTTCTAATACATATATATTTACAAACTCATGTCGTTCACCGTTTACATTTCAAACTTGAATATTAAAAGGTCAAAAGTTACTGTTTAAAATATCAAAGATCTATGTCATCATATTGCAAAGATATAAGTAATTAGAAAATTTGAACTTGAGGCAAGTTATCAGTTCCTTTGACACTTTTCAGAAAAAAGGTTCAGGCAATTAACCAAAAGATTGTTTAATCGAATTTTAAAATAGATGGGCTACATTTTCGTCTTCTGCATTAAATGTTTTGTCCTTTGTAAGATTTAAAAAATGAATTATCTTTATTCTGCAGTACAGAAATATTTAATACAGCAATGCAAGATGGTACTATACCTGTCTCCTAGTTGAATCTTGAACCCGTCTAGCTCCCAGATAAACCTAGGAGGAGGACGACCTCTCCCGACACACTTGAGAGACAAGAACTGACCAGGGATCAAGGTAGAACCTGTAAACCTCTCAACTATCTCAGGCGCAGAATCTAAATATTTTTCTTTTCAATTAATTTTTATTTTTTCATTCAAAAATTGAGACTTTGCCACAAACTCAAATTTTCTAATCCATATATCTATGCAGCCTGATGGCGTCGGTTATTGATTTTTCAAAGTTAGATTATTTGATCTAACAGAATTCATAGTTTGAAATGTTTAAGGTCTACGCCATGGGGTTGCAAAGATTGGGGATTGGAAAATCAGAGGCAATTGCAAAGACTAAATTCCTTTATGAATCAATCCAAGGGATGTGAAATTTGGTGATGTCAAATGGATTTCTAATTTCATTTTGATTTCGACAATACCCCCGTCTACTTTTTCACGAACACTCCCTTTAATAAACATATACATATACATATATATATATTTAGCCTTAATCCGTCCTTAAACAAAGAAACAAACAGACTATACAAATATAATAAACAGTATTAATTATCATCATTATTAATCTAGGAATTATTAAAATTACTATTGGAATATTTAATATTTCATATACGGCTTCAATAGTTTATAGAAAATACAATATATTTGAAGTAAAAACAAATATGGAGAAAATGTTGATTGTTTATTGTTTTATAAACAAACAGTTTTTGTATACACATTATACGAAGAAATATATCATTGTTGACTTTAAAAGTCACTATAATAAAATAAAGAGATCTAAAATGGATATTTCTAACATTTATTTAAAAAACGAGTGTTTTGAAATATTTGCATTTAAGGCGGAGTTAAAATTGGTTGATTTAGAAATTAACAAAGAAATTAATGCTGGATATTAGATGGCGCTTCATGGAAGTGTTGTAGAGCTTCATGTTGGTGGAGCAGATCCGGGAACTGGGACAACAGGGCTTATCAATGGATCGAAGGCAATGCAACTCGAGATAACGGAAACTTCGGTCAGATCCGTTTTAGTTTCCTAAGTAAGCTTCTCAAGAAGTTAATAGGGAGATCAGAGGTGAAAGCACGCCTGCTGTTAGTTCAGTATCTGCATCATCAGCCTGAAGGAGTCATGGGGGGTGACGTAGAGCTTCATGTTGGTGGGGCAGATCAACAGGTGCGTTGCGCTGAGTATCTGCATCATCATCATGAAGGAGCCAGGGTTGAGACGGAGTTGTGAATGTCTTGAGTGTTTATACCTGACTGCCGGGGCTGGGATCTGTAGAAGGGGGGGGGAGAAGAAGCGGGGGTTACATGTGGGCTTCATGGCGGAAATGGATCTTGAGTACACATACATCTAGAGAAAATGGCTACGGCATTTGAGTCGGAAAAATCGTCTTCCTTATATTTTGGAATTTGTGTTAACAATCATTTATTTTCTGTCGCTATATTCTACAGGGTGTCCCAATAAACATGGGAATACAGTGACGATTTCGATATCGTCTTTTTAAATAATTCTTTGGTTTAGTATAGTGATACCTACTGAGAAAGCTGTAATCTGTAAGAGTTTCGTCTGCTATGTTTATGTTTTGACTGCATAAGGTTGTACTTAGTAAAACAAGAAAATTGCAGTATACAAACAGAGTAAACTTGTCCGTCTTCACTGTTCATCTTGCGGAGACATTATAGACACATCTTTGCAGTGTTTTACCCTTTTCATAAAATAAACTCTAGCAGACATAATAATATCATGGCTTTTGAAATTTGGTATTACAATGATCATTCATAACAAAGACGATATCCAATTCGTCACTGAATTCCCATGTTTTTTGGGAAACCCTGTACTACCTTGGAAACCAGCTTTGCCTGGAGTCAACCCACTCATTTTAGAATTCTTAAACCAGGCTAATATCATTCCCGTAGATCTACCGAGTTTCCCAATCAAAATTTGAGGCAAATTGGTCAAGGGGTTAAGAGTTATAATTGGACATCCAAACAGACAGACGAACATAGATTACTGCTTTATAGATATAGAATTTTTAATAGAATGTTCGAAAACAAGTTGTAAGCTAAATATTATTTTAAAAAACAAAATCAAGACCAGTATGAAATATTAAATATATACAAATGTGGCGAAAGATAATAGATGACTATAGGTTGTAATATCTGAATGATTTGTTTAATATTAATTTGATTTTATTTACGGTCTAAGTCGTATGTTCCAACTTCCTCAATTTGTATGGGCGCTACGGTCTTCGGTATGAGACGTCTTTATCAATTTTCTTTTTATAGACGCAACAGATAGAAGTAAGATTAGTAGCGATCAAAAGCGCTTTTTTATCGCATTAAGCCTATACCCCCTTTCATTTTTCGCGAACACTCCCTTTAAGAAAAAATTGCAGATTTTGTTTTGGAATTATATCTCCAAAAGTATTTTAAACTTTTAATTTCATTTAATTTTTAAAAAAGTTTTAAGAATCTCTGAATATGTATTGAATAAAAAATAGAAAACAAAGAAGTACTTTTTTATCCAAAAAAACATTTAGCATTAAACATTTTTAATATTCGCCATATCTGAATCAAAAATAAACTAAATGTAATTTGTATCAATGTTAATTCAATTCAATGAATCGGACTTTTAAGGCAAGTATAAGGTTTCATTTCTATGTATTTATACAATTGAGAAATAATTAGAATATTCATTAAAACAAACTTTTTGCTTATATTTCAGAATCTGTACAAGTTAACTTGAACAAGGCTGAAAAAGGGACAAACAGAAAACTGGAGTAATCAAAAATGTCCGTCCTGGAATTATCAATGTTTGTGATCTTTCCTCTAAAACAATTAAACAACATTTGGAGCAAACTAGAGCAAACTAGAGTAAACTAGAGTAAACTAGAGCAAATTAGAGCAAACTAGAGCAAACTAGAGCAAACTAGAGCAAACTAGAGCAAACGAGAGCAAAATATAGCAAAAAAGCAAACTAGAGCAAAATATAGCAAAAAAGCAATCTAGAGCAAACTAAAGCAAACTAGAGCAAACTAGAGCAAACTATAGAAAACTAGAGCAAACTAGAGCAAACTAGAGAAAACTAGAGAAAACTAGAGCAAACTAGAGCAAACTAGAGCAAACTTTAGTAAACTAGAGCAAACTAGAGCAAACTAGAGCAAACTATAGCAATCTAGAGCAAACTAGAGCAAAACATAGCAAACTAGAGCAAACTAAAGCAAAATATAGCAAAAAAGCAAACTAGAGCAAACTAAGCAAAACTAGAGCTAACTAGAGAAAACTAGAGCAAACAAGAGAAATCTAGAGAAAACAAGAGCAATCTAGAGAGAACTAGAGCAAACTAGAGCAATCTAGAGCAAACAAGAATAGTAAATTACAAAAATAATATTTTTAGAAATATCGAGTTAATCCGTTCTCAGTACTTAATCTTCCGGGTAATTAATTTAGAACTTATTTATCGTAAATCATAAACGTATAAAACTACTAAAGGGAATGTTAACTTAATTACATGTGAACAATTTATTGAAGACGACAGCGCCGAAGTTCAGGTCAAATCTAATTTTTAGAACAGAAAACAAGGATATCCCTACTATCATATTTTATACAATTCTTCTAAATCTGAACTCTCAGCTTCAGTTGAAACAAAAACTCGTTTAACCAAATTTTCGGTTTATTAAACCATCTTCAGGACATGCTTATTATTATGAACTTTTAATATTAATATTTTTAAGATCTGCAGTAAAGTCCCTAATTGCGTAAATATGACTATAAAATACCTTGTATTAGAACCACAGCAGCTGATTGTTTGGTTTGGTTTGCTGTGTTTACAAAACATTGATATATTCCTCCCTCGTCTTCCTCCAGATTAAAGATGTTTAGGATACTTTGGTCAGTGCTGTACCTGCACAATCAATCAATTAATAAATCTATCTACGCGAAAATGCCGCAAACTATTTATTATTTAAAAATAAAAATATGAACTTCTATTGTTGTAATATATAGTAAGGAAATGACCCTAACATCTAGAAACCTAATTGTTTTTGTCATCAAAAATTTGAATACGTTCGTAAGAAATTATACTTTTAAAAAAGTTAAGAAAACAAAATTCAAATTCTTGGTTTTTTTGATTACAGAAGCTTTTTTTCTGTTTGAGATTTGATATTAATATTTGATAATTCAAATCGTACATTCGTACATATATGTGTTGCGTATAGCCAGCAAAACGGCTGGATCGATTGGTCTGATTTTTTTTGTGGACACTCATGGGTGGCCGGGGGGGTGTTATAGGCTAAAAAATCGAAAATAAAAAAAATTATCCACGGGCAACGCTGGGCCCTTCAGCTTGTATTTGATAATACTTAAAAAATCTGAATCTTTTCGTTAAGTTTAGATCAAACTTGTGTTCTAGTGTGTAGACATGAAATCTATCTTCTCTTGATCCACAATCCATTTATTCATCCGACTCAAGCCTTTGTTCAGTTTCATCCTACTTCCGCACATTTTTCAAATTCAGGTTTAGATATCATAATATATTCTACAAATTCAGGTTTAGATATCAAAATATATTCTACAAATTCAGGTTTAGATATCAAAATGTTTTCTACAAATTCAGGTTCAAATATCAAAATATATTTTCTACAAATTCAGATTTAGCTATTACGTATATGTTACAAATTCAGATTTAAGTATTTATATCTATTATACTTGACAAGATTATAATCTTATCTTTTTTCTAATTCCTCCATCTTTGGGATACGGCAATTGTGCAATGTAAATAGACCCATTTCACTTAATTTGTGATTTAAGAATTGGCAAGTAAAACTATTTGCTTTGTCAATATGTCAATATTGCTATAAAGTCGTATTCCAACTTCTGAGTTTTCTGTTTATCAATGTAGATATAAAGTAAAATAAAGATTAAAATAATACAAGTCGATTCAGCAGATACTTAGCAGATACTGAGACAAACAGTAACCCTCGCAATAAAAATAGACCCAAGATATCTGTAAACCAGTTTTTGAGCGACTTTCGATTAAATGCAAAAACTTTTTCTGCCATGTCCCGTTATCCAATATCCAGTATCAAGTATCCAGTATCTAGTGTCCAATATTTAGTATCCAGTAACTAGTATCTAGTATCTAGTATCTAGTATCCAGTATCTAGTATCTAGTATCCAGTATCTAGTATCCAGTATCTAGTATCCAGTACTTAGTATCCAGTATCCAGTATCTAGTATCCAGTATCTAGTATCTAGTATCTAGTATCTAGTATCTAGTATCTAGTATCTAGTATCTAGTATCTAGTATCTAGTATCTAGTATCCAGTATCTAGTATCCAGTATCTAGTATCCAGTATCTAGTATCCAGTATCTAGTATCCAGTATCCAGTATCTAGTATCCAGTATCTAGTATCTAGTATCCAGTATCTAGAATCCAGTATCTAGTATACAGTATCTAGTATCCAGTATCCAGTATCTAGTATCCATTACCTAGTATCCAGTATCTAGTATCCAGTATCTAGTATCCAGTATCTAGTGTCCAGTATCCAGTATATAGTATCCAGCATCTAGTGTCTAGTATCCAGTATCTAGTATCCAGTATCCAGTATCTAGTATCCAGTATCTAGTATCCAGTATCTAGTGTCTAGTATCCAGTATCTATTATTCAATATACAGTATCCAAAATTCAGTATCCATATCTATTATACAGATTAACGTAAACAGTATCCCTTATCCTGTATTTAGTATTCTGTATTCTGTATCATGTATCCATCATTCTGATTCCTGTATCCGGTATTCAGCATCCAGTATTCAGTAATCAGTATCCTGTATCTAGTATCCAGTATAAAGTATCCAATATCCAGAATTCAGTATCTAGTATTCAGTTTCTAGTATAAAGTATCCAATATCTTGTATCCAGTATACAGTATCCAGTATAAAGAATCCAATATCCAGTATCCAATATCCTGTATACAGAGTATCCAATATCCAGTATTCAATTGAATATATATTTCACCTGTATCGTTGGTTGTTTAATTGTATCCGATATCCATTCCGGAACCAGGAAACCGATTCAATCTTTCCTCTAATTCGAACATGATAATACGATTTTTTGTTAGGCTGAGACATCTTTAGGTTTCCCTTTTTCCCTTAAATTAGTCTGCTGTTAGGCGTAAACCCCGTTAAAATAGATATTGAACATTTGAGATTTTTGAAGAAAAATATTTTAAACATTTTGTTCATCAATAAAATTTTAAAAGTTTTCTTTGCAACTCTTTTTAATCTTGAAAACTTACAGTTGAAGAAAAAATGTTTTCTTTATCTTGGAGGATAAATCCGTTAAACTTGTATTAAATATAAATTAGGTTCTCAGATTAATTGCCAATATTTTCTCTTTATAGTCAGGTTTACACCCTAGCAGGTAGTTTCTCTTTAAATATCTTCAGTTTTAAAGGGATTCTTTACTTAGCAGGGGAAAACACTGGTCAGGATATCACTAAATACTCATTTCATATTTCTCAAGATTTTCATTTGATTTTCAAGGATATACTCTGGAGTTTTCAAGGATATACGCTGGAGTTTTCAAGAATATATTCCGGATTTTTAATGGATATACTCCAGAGTTTTCAAGTATATACTCTGGAGTTTTCAAGGATATATTCTGGATTTTTCAAGTATATACTCTGGAGTTTTCAAGGATATACTTTGGAGTTTTCAAGGATACACTCCAGAGTATTCGAGTATATACTCCAGAGTTTTCAAGTATATACTTTGGAGTTTTCAAGGATATAATCTGGAGTTTTCAAGTATATACTCTGAAGTTTTCAAGGATATACTCTGAAGTTTTCAAGGATATACTCTGGAGTTTTCAAGGATATATTCTGAAGATTTCAAGGATATACTCCAGAGTTTTCAAGTATATACTCAGGGATATATTCTGGAGTTTTCAAGCATATACTCTGGAGTTTTCAAGGATATAATCTGGAGTTTTCAAGGATATACTCTGGAGTTTTCAAGAATATATTCCGGATTTTTAATGGATACACTCCAGAGTTTTCAAGTAAAAACTCTGGAGTTTTAAAGGATATGCTTCAGAGTTTTTAACAATATACTGAGAAGTTTTTAAGACATTACTAAAGAGCTTGGTCGCTTTAAGGTTACTTTGGAAAAATAAATTCTTTGTTCCGAAGCTTGGGTTCAGAAGTTTTAACAGTTCTTCTGAGAGGTTAGTTTATTTCTTTACTTTCGTACTTCCAAGATCTTTAGGTGTTGTATTTATTGAGGTGCACTTATCAAGAATATTATGCGGCTGTATCACTTATCAAGAATATTATGCGTCTGAACTGAGGTGAACTATTCAATAATATTATGCGGCTGTATTGAGGTGCACTTATCAAGAATATTATGCGGCTGTATCACTTATCAAGAATATTATGCGGCTGTACTGAGGTGAACTATTCAATAATATTATGCGGCTGTATTGAGGTGCACTTATAAAGAATATTATGCGGCTGTATTGAGGTGCACTTATCAAGAATATTATGCGGCTGTATTGAGGTGCATTTATCAAGAATATTATGCGACTGTTATCAAACGTTTTTAAACTCAATTTACTGTTCTGAATTTGAAAAAAAAAACAGTTTTATAGCCCCGTTAAATCCTGAGTTATTCAAGTTCTCTGAGTGATAATCCTTGTTGTTAATTCTGGGAAAGTTTTCAGGAAATAAGATAATTATTCTTCACAAAATAAATAGATAATTCTAATCTCTGAGTTGGAATTTCCTAGTAGAACAGGTTAGTGTGATATTATCTCCTTTTCTAGCTCTCTGCTGGGTCGGAGACAGAACTACCTCTAGCTCAGGAACCACCAGAATATCAAACCTGGAAAAAAATAATGTTAATCTACATATGTATAAACATGAATATATAATATATATATATAATATGAATAAAATGTTATAAGAAGATTGTTGCGTTTCAACTGATATATATAAATATATATATTTATATGAAGTAGTAATATCTGTGTGTTTGTATGTCCGATCATAACTTAGGAACCATATGACCGATTTGCCTCAAATTTTGAATGGGGGAACTCTGGTGAACCACGGGATTGTTTTTAGCGAAGTTTTTAAATTCTTATTTGAGTGGGTCGACTTTTATGGTGAAATATCTACAGGCAAAGCTGCGTTCCAGAGCTAGGATATTATAAAAGTGGATCGACGACCCAGGACCGAATTTAATGAACTTGAGGGTCGCTAAATTGCCTACCGCCGGTTCAAATTTGAAGCACCGATTCAAATCCTTCCTGAATCGTTTTGGTAATTCAAAGGATTTGAGTCTTTGCCACAGACTCTGATTGTCTAATCACTATATCTTTGTATACCGATGTTGTAGACCTTAGATATTTCAAACTATTAAATATTAAAGTTTTACACCATCAGGTTGCAAAGTTACGGTTAGTTCAACTAATGAATTTATAATAACCGAACATTTATTTGGTTTGTTTAACAATAAACATATTATCCAGTTAGACAAATATTTATATAATATTATAAACATATCTCTTGTAGCAGTGTTTTCCAGATTTTATTAGAAATTTTTAAAAAGATTTTTCTGCATGTCTCCTTTCAAAAGAATAACACGGTTAACAGTATAAGTCTTTATATATTAACTCTTATTATAGAGGAATACAACCACGGAAAGATCTTTACTCTCGGAGAAATACAACACTGGAAAGTATTTAGTCTCGGAGTAATGCTCTTCTAGAAGTTCTTTACATCCTGAGGAATAAAATCCTGGAAAGATATTTGCTTTTGGGGGAAATAAACCCCGTGAAGATATTTGCTCTCGGGGAATAAACCCTGGGAAGATATTTGCTCTCGGGGAATAAACCCTGGGAAGATATTTGCTCTCGGGGAAATAAACCCTGGGAAGATATTTTCTCTCGCGTGGAAATAAACTCTGGGAAGATATTTGCTCTCGGAGAATAAACCCTGGGAATATATTTGCTCTCGGGGAAATAAACCCTGGGAAGATATTTTCTCTCGCGTGGAAATAAACTCTGGGAAGATATTTGCTCTCAGAGAATAAACCCTGGGAATATATTTGCTCTCGGGGAAATAAACCCTGGGAAAATATTTGCTTTCTTAGAATAAACCCTGGAAAGATATTTGCTCTCGGGGAAATAAACCCTGGGAAGAATTTTCTCCCTTGTGAAATAAACCTGGAAAGATATTTGCTCTCGGAGAAATACAACCCTAGAAAGATGTTTGCTCTCGGAGAAACACAACCTTGGAAAGATCTTTGTTCTCAAAGGAATAAAACCCAGAAACTTTCCCGAAAGGAGAATACTGTAGCAAATTAAATTAAGTGTTTGATAGAACGAGAATTAGAAATATAAAAACTAATTAGTCGATAAATTAGGAGGTTCAACAAGAAGGGGGACTCGGAAGGGGGGAGGGGA